GCTGAAGAGGGCCTTTAATGCCGTGTGAAACCTGCGGGTTTGTCTGGGGAACGCATTGGCGCGTTACGCCGCATCCTGGGAATCGGTGGCGCTCGACCTTCGGGCAGTGCTGCGCCGCACCCCGGGAATCGCCAGTCTAGACCCAACAGTTGAGTATTAATGCTGCGCCACACCCCGGGAATCGCCAGTCTAGACCCAACAGTTGAGTATTAATGCTGCGCCACACCCCGGGAATCGCCAGTCTAGACCCAACAGTTGAGTATTAATGCTGCGCCGCACCCTGGGAATCGCCAGTCTAGACCCAGCGGTTGAGTATTAATGCTGCGCCGCACCCTGGGAATCGGCGGTCTCCAGCCCCGAAGGGCGAGCGCCGAAGTCATGCCGCACCCGGACTGAAAACCGCTGGTCGAGTCTCTTCCCCGCGGAGGTCATTCCCCCAGATGGCAAAACAAGACACCTAACGAAGTGCAGCTATTCTCGCCTTCAGATTGTCAGAAATAGTTTCTGGTCCTGGTCTAACGGATCCAGGCAGTGGGGTTTGCGCGTCTCCTGCCTGCTCCTTCCTTCCCGCTCACCCTGAACTAAAGGAGAATCCTAAAAAGTTCAGGTCGGACGGGACTAAAGGAGGTCACGTCTAGTCCAGCCCCCTGCTCCAAGCAGGACCGTCGGCAACTGCATCATCCCAGCCTGGGCTTTGTCAAGCCGGGTCTTAAAGACCTCTAAGGATGGAGAGTTTAGTCTCTCTGGGGAACCCGTTCCAGTGCTTCACCACCCTCCAAGTGGGAAATTTTTCCTAATATCCAACCTAAACCTCCCTCGGTGCAACTTGAGACCATTGCTCCTTCTCCTGTCATCTGCCCCCGCTAAGAACAGCCCAGCTCCATCCTCTTTGCAACCCTCTTTCAGGGAGCTGAAGGCTGCCATCAAATCCCCCCTCAGTCTTCTCATCTCCAGACTAAATCAGCCCAGTTCCCTCGGCCTCTCCTCACCACTTGTGTCCCTCAGCCCTGAACCATTTTCATTCCCCTCCGCTGGACTCTCTCCAACTTGTCCACATCCTTTCTGTAGTGGACGGCCCAATACTGGACACAGGACTCCAAGCGTGGCCTCACCAGTGCAGAATGGAGAAGAATAATTAATTCCCCCCAATCTGCTGGCAATGCAGCACAGCCCATTACTCCTACCAATGCAGCCCAGACTGGCTATTTCTGGGGTATTCGGATTTTTTCATGATGGGATTGTTTCTAAATCACAAAGGAAAAAAGTGGGATCCTGCTTCCCGTGTCACTGTAAAGCAGGTTTTCCTGCTCCTGAGAGCCAGACGTGACCTGCAGGATGGGAGCTGTCTGAGCTGTGTAACTCCCTCCCCACCTCAGCAAGCCTCTTCTCTTCACTCAGGGTGCTCTGGAAAGCAGGTATCCAGCAAGCGCAACAAAAGCTATTTCAGCTAGTGCTCAATTGTCCTTGCTACCAAACAGTGCTTGTAACTGAACTGATGAGAACGAAGCCGTGCACAGTAATCTAGCATCGGAGCAGCCCCTCTGGTCTCCATCCTGCCCTGATCGATACATACGAATATCTACTCCTTGACTTCAGAGGATTGGGGCTACCTCCATGCAGCGCCTGGCAGGATGTGGGGAGCTTCAGACCGTGCAACCCACAACTCCTAGGATTGTTGTTCATTCCTTTTTGGCTGTTAGGAGGAGAAACGAACAACAGTTATTTCTCTGATGTAATTGCGCTTGTTTCAAAGGAATGTTGATCGTTTTGTATCCCTGAGGACTGCAAGAGATAGCGATCTTTTTGGCAACGGCTCCAAGCCTTTGTTGGCCGGCACTCAGCCACAAAAATCTCTCTCGCACAATCCCAGTGCTTGTTTCGGCTCGTATCCCTGTGCCCCCGCTTCTCCACCCATATTTGCCTTTACTTTTGGGGGTGAAACATGCCTGTGTTTGGGGTGGAGTTTGTTACAATCTCAGCTGTCGGGTTCATTAAAGCAGGACAGCTGAAC